CATGTGTGATTCACATCATATTTCTGTTGGACAGCACTGCTTGAGAAGTGCTGCAACTTTGGCTGCCAAACCCTAGTTAACTTCTGGAGTCCCGTGTGGACTTTTCCATGGGGCAACTCTCAGGGCTTCAGGTTTTCCAGTTGTGAAATGGAAAGTAGTTTCCGCCTTCCATTCAGCTCGTAGCTAAGCACCGTGCTAAGAGCTTTCACAGACTTTCTTGAAACTCTCTAATCTCCGTAAGGTAAACCGTATTAGCCCCATTTTCCAAGTGAGGAAATCAAGGTCCAGAGATGGTAGGTAAATGCCTGAGATCACAGAGCAGGGAGCATCTAAGCGCAGGCCTTGTCACTCCACCACGCTGCAGAGACACAAAGAGGCAGCACTGCCCGTGCCCACCTCCACGGAGACCTCCAGAGAGTGATCCCTTCTAAGGACGGGACAGGAGGCCAGATGGGGAAAAGGGCACAGCATTTACTGTATGTCACGCAGTGTGATGGGCACCTCACTTACACTCCCCTGTGGAGAGTGTATTGTTATCATTTGACTTCCTGGCACAGCTAGGACGTGGCAGGCAAACTCAGGGGCACTTGATGGAAAGTGTGTGTGTTTTCCTCTCCACTCTGCTTCCATTCGGTATTCTTCAGGACTCTTTGGATTACAGGTAACACAATCCCAACTTTTTTAGCACATGTAACTAGAAGGTTTGAGGATAGCTCTGGGTAGTTTCAGGCATGGCTGGATCCAGGAGCTCTTGTCTTTCCCCATCTCTCGTATCTGTTTCCTTCGGCGTTGGTCTGTCTGTAAGATACTTACCAGCAGCTCTAGGCTTGCTTCCTGCCCAACCCCAGTGGACTGCTTCTCCTTCCTACATTTTCAATAGCCAAAACCAAAACCTTGCAATTGCATCTGGGCGTGGTTTGGGGCAGATGCCGGTCCATCGTGGCCAGAGGGATGAATGGACTGACTGACCCAGTCTGGTCACACGGCTGTCCCTGGAAGGGTGTTAGTCAGTCCTGGCCCCCAACCAGAGACCCTGAGGTCGGGGGAGAGTAATTCCTCAGGACAAATTGGGCTGCTTTACTCCAAAGGGGAGTGGGTGCCGGGCACGCACAAACTCCAGGTGACCACTGCGTTTCCCGGCGCCCCATCCCCTACTCTGGCTCGTGGTCATGACGGTTGTATTCCTGGGGATTTTGGTCTGAAGGCATTGCCACATCCTCACAGGCACAGCGGAGGAGAACACTGTCTGTGAGCTGCCTTCCCCAGGGACCAGCCCTGCCTGCTCCAGCCCAGAGGACTGCAAGGAGCCCACCAGGTGACTCCCCGGCCCCGTATCCTCCTTCCCTAGCCACCCAGCTGACCTTCGGGGGGACTGCCCCACCCCGCAGGACGCCCAGGGCATAGCTGGGCTGCGGGTGCAGGTCTGGTTCAGCCCACGGCGTCAGGATTCCAAGGTCCTCTCTGCCACGCCCTAAGTCATTTGAGGCCCTACAGTGTGTCCAGCCCTTGCTCTTGGGAGCTTATGGTGGGCCTGCCGGAGGCTGTGGGCAGAGGGTACGTGACCCTGTCGCTATAGAAACTGTCGTCCCCTGAGCACAGGCCTCCCTTGCCCCACTGGGAGAGTTGTCAGTCCCACCTCTGGCTTCTTCCCCCCAGCACCATCCGGCAGGCCGAGCCCACCCCGATGTCCCCGGCAACCTCCAATGCCAGGACCACACTTCTTAGAGGGGGCACCTCCGTTGCCCCAGAAGAGGCTTCTAAACTGACAAGGGCTCCCAACTCTCCCTCCTCCGCGGGGAAGCCTAGCTCAGATCCAGGTAATTTCCCCGTGAAGCTGTGGGTCGTCTCCTGGGGCAGCGGTGTCTGACTGGTGGACAGCCCATACGGGGTGGTGGTCGGGGCGGGTGGACGCTGAGCTGTGCTCTTTTCCCAGCGGGGAGGGAAGAGGGTCTCAAAGTCTGATCTCCTGGGGCTGAAGGCATCGAGGGCCAGAGGTCAACACTGTAAGGGCTCTTTCGTTTACCAGAAGTGCTAGGACCTCTCATGCGCCAGGCGTTGCGGTGGGGGCTGGGGCATGCTGTCCCGCCCCGCTGTCACGCACCTGGCCTGGCGCAGGCCAGCCTCTGCATGTGTGCACTGGATGCGAGTCCAGTTCCCATGGCAATGGGTCAGCTCTCAGTTCGTTCTTTTTTATGATTGAATAGCTTTCCATTGCGTAGCTATACCACACTCTGTTTATCCAAACAGTTTTGGGTATTTGGATTGTTTCCACTTTCTGGCTGTAATGAATAACGAAAAATAAGTCTTTGTGTGAATGTATGTTTTCATTTCTCTTGAGTTGGTTTTTAACTTCTTATAATTCTGGGTTCAAGCCCTCTGTCCTGTAGTCGTGTTCAAAATATCTTCTCCTGCCCTGTGGCTTGACTACTTGCTCTCTTTATGGTACATTTTTTTTTTTTTTTTTGAGATAGAGTCTCGCCTTGTTGCCCTGAGTAGATTGCAGTGATGTCATCCTAGCTCACAGCAACCTCAAACTCCTGGGCTCAAGTGATCCTCTTGCCTCAGCCTCCCTATTAGCTGGGACTACAGGCATGCACCACAGCGCCCGGCTAATTTTTCTAATTTTTGTAGAGACGGGGTCTGGCTGTTGCTCAGGCTGGTCTTTCTGATATCTTTTGATGAAGAGATGTTCTTACGTTTAATGTAGTCAAATTGATCGATCTTTTCCTTTATGGCTAGTGCTGTCTGTGTTCTGCCTTGGAAGTCTTTTTCTCCCTGGAAGCCTTAAAAACATCCTACATTTATTTTTCGGGATCATTATCGCTTTTCCTGTCACTTTTAGGTCTGCCATGCACCTTGACTTTTCTGTGTGGCGGGAGGCAGTGGTCCACGTGGATACGCAGTTGAACCACACTGTTTCTCACGCCCTTCCCCACTGTCTCATGTGCCGTCTCTGCTGTAAATCAGGCGTCCGTGTGTTTGTGGCTATGACTCTGGACTCTGAATTCTACCCCACTGGTCTTTTTATCTATTCTGCGTGAATACCACGCCGTCTCAGTTACTGTCTTTTTTAAATAAATCTTGATAGACGGTTGAGCAACTCCCCCAACTCTGTGCTTCAACCGTGTCTTCGGTATTCTTGGTCATTTGCATTTCCACGTACATTTTAGCATCAGCTTTTCAAATTCCACAAAATGTCCTATTGGGATTTTGGTGGGGATTGCACTGAATCTATAGATCAGCTTGGAAGGAATGTTTCTGATGATGATGTAAATCATCTTTTTCAACATTCCATGTTATCTTTATTGTTGGTATTATTTTGAACCATGTGAAAAACAGAAATTTCATAGGGTCCAACCTAATATAGAGAAATCCGATTGGTGTTGATGTAGTGACATGATGTCCAGCTGCCTTGCTAAACTCACTTACTCATTCCAACAATGCACCTGAGGGTTATTCGGGGTTGTCTCTGCCCTCAGTTAACCATCTGTGAGTACAGCAGCTTGGTATCTTCCTTTGTAAACCTTATCACTTTTATTTCTTTTTCTTGCCTTATTGCCTCAGCTAGCATCCCCTATACCATACTGAATAGCAGTGACGACAGTGGGTGTCTTTGCCTTGCTGCTGAGCTAATGGGGAAAGCTGCCTCCAAAGTTTTGAGTACAGAAGTGACAGCTCCCACGGGACCAGGGAGAGGGCTCTGGCATGGTGACCACAGCGCGTCAGAGATGGAGGAGCAGGAGGCAGGGCTGTCAGGAGGCAGTCAGTGCCCTGCTCCTGCGTGGAACGTGTCTGACATGCCTTCTCTCTCTGAGCCTCAGAACCCCCCGAGAGGCAGGACTGATCTGACCGGTGGGGGGTTGGGAGCTGGCCATAGTTGGGGTTGGGGGGCTTCAGGGATTGGGGTGAGTGAGGCCTTTGCCAAGGCAGTCTGGCCCGGAGCTTCTCCGCTTCTTTTCCCAGGGCCGTCCCTGACGCAGCCGTGCCCACAGGGGTCTGCCGACTGCAGGAAGCTGTGCGAGCCCGACTACTACCTGGACGGGGCCGGCCGCTGCACGGCCTGCGTGAGCTGCGCGCGAGGTAAGGGCCTCGTGTAGCTCCGCGTCTTGGAGGAGAGGCCGAGACTCTGCGGGTGGGGAAACCCGTCTCTGATGTCTGCTCAGCCCTCGGGAGCCTCACTTTACCTCTCTGTCAACTTCCAGTGACTCCTCTCACATTCGTGGGGTTTTACTGGCAGCCTCCTCTTTTCAGAGAGCTTGCATTTGCTTATTCTTTCCTCACGGAAACATTCATAAATCACCTGCATGTTCCAAATTGGTTTCAAACTCGTCTCATTAACTTTTGTAACTACTCTATGATACAGGGATTGGGGTTGTCCCCATCTTACAGAAGAGGAAACTGAGGCCTTCGGAAGTCAGGGAACTAACAAAGGCCACGGACTGGAGTTTGAAGCCAGGCGAGTCTGCCACCAAGTTCCGGGCTCTTGTCACCCCACTGAGCTACCTCTCCGAGCCCACTTCTGACCGGCACTTGCTGAGTGATGGCAGGAAGGGGACATGGGGCTTTCCCTGCGGCCAGCCCACTGCAGCCAGCCCTGTAATGTCCATGAGGGCCACTCAGGGCAGGGGCAGCTGCCCAGGTCCCGGGCTACGATGGCTGGAGAGGCCCCAGCCGCTCAGGGAGGCCACCGGCAACGTGTGATTCTGTCTCGTGTCCAGGGTTTCTTCACTCAGCAATGCGGACCAGAGTCGGGGAGGCCAAACAGGGGGATGAACACTCAGTTCGTTGGCATCGCAGGCCTCTGTCCCAGTTGCTAAGACTACCTAGCAAATTTTCTCAAAACCTAGTGGTGAAAAACACACCATTCTTTGTATTCATGGATTCTGTGGGTCAGAATTCAGACAGGGCACTCTGAGGGCAGCTCGTCTCCGCTGCACAGTGTCTGCGGTCTCCGCCGGAAAGCCCAGAGGCCCAAGACTGCAATCATGTCAGGGCTATTCATCCACGCGTGGGGGGGTCAATGTTGACTCCTGGCTGGGGCCTCGGTTCCTCCGTGTGGCTTACTCTGGGCTTCCTCATGGTCTGGTGGCTGGGCCCTAAAGGCAAATGTCTTGAGAGAGAGAAAGAGAGGCGGAGACAGACAGAGAAAGGCAACAGCCGTATCTCCTTTTACCTAGTCTGGGAAGTCGCGCCGCATAACTCCCACCACTTCCTATTGGTGGAGGCAGCCCTAAATCTCACTTGGGATCAAGGGGAGGAAAACAATGCCCTGCTTGATGGGTGAGTGGCAGGCTCTGGAAGAGCAGACAGGGCCAGAAATACCTCTATGGCCATTTTGGGGAAAATACAATCTGCCACAGCCACCATGTCAGATGCAGAAACAAGAGATGGGCCCAAGAATTCCTTCAACTCTCCTAACTGAAGCCCTACAAGGCAGTGGACGGCAGTATGGTGGCTAAGGGCACGGGCTCTAGAGCCTGAGGGCCTGGGTGCAGATCTTGGCTCTCCCAGTGGATTGCTTAGAAACTCAGGCAAATGTCTTAACCTCTCTGTGCCTCAGTTTTCTCACCTGCAAAATGGGCATAACAGTAGTATCTATCTTAGAGAGTTGTGGGAATTAAATAGGTTACTGTAGGTTAATCTGGGCAGAATACCAAGAATACTTCTCACACACACTCGATTATCCTAAAAGCTGTAATAATGATAATAGCTGTCATTGTCTCAAATCATCTCATTCACTGCTCACTCACGCCCTTCTCACGGATTCCCCAAATCCTGCTCAGTTTCCTCTCTCTGGAGGTTCTAAGAAGAGACTGTGTGGACCTTATTGTTACCATGCCGGGTCTCTAAGCATCTGCTGACTCAGAAATGTTCCTGTGGGGCAAGTCACCTTTGCCTCGTCCACTGATACAATAATTCTATCTTTACCCACAAGTGGGAGATGTTCCCAAACATATACAAATGCATTATTACACTTTTTCTTTTATAATACCTCTAGCATTTTATTTTATCTTTGTTTTTGAAAAAATAACTTATGGAAATTTCAAACATTCAGATGTAGAGTTGGAAAGCTCGTGTACCCTTCTTTGCACTCTTCCTTTGGCTCTGTCTTTGCCGTGACGATGGGTCTGGCTGTCACGTGTGGCGTACGTACCATGCTCTGTGAACCTACATCTTGCTCTTGCACTGTAATCCTATCTTTCTCTCCTCAACAAACCTCATTTTTGTGCGTGCCAAAAAAAGAAATGGCTGTATACTGCCACCCAGCTAGAAACAGTTATCGTGTCCTGGCCGGTCTTGGCTAGTCTGCACCCACCCCCACTCACCCTGCCCGCTGATGCTCTCCTTTCGACAGCTTATGGAGATGTGGCTGATATACAGTAAAACGCACATGTATGCAATTTGATAAGTTTTGACGTATGCACGTGGCTGTGTCTCCAGCCACCCCCTCGAAGTTTCCTGGAGCTTTTGTCAATCTCCCCCCATGCCCGCCGCACCTCCATTCCCAGGCAATCATTCTGCTCAGTTTGCATTTGCTAGAATTTTATTAATATATAAACAGAACATACAGAATGTCACCCTTTTTTTCTTTTTTTTTCTTGAGACAGAGTCTCGCTCTGTTGCCCAGGCTGGAGTGCTGTGGTATCATCATGGCTCACTGCAGCCTCCAATTCCTGGGCTCAAGTCATCCTCCTGCCTCAGCCTCCCAAATAGCAGGGACTACAGGTGTGTTCCACTATACTCGGCTAATTTTTTTTTCTCAATTATTTTTTGTGGAGACAGGGACTCACTATGTTGCTGGTCTTGAACTCTTGGCCTCAAACGATTCCCACCTCGGCCTCCCAAAATGCTGGGATTACAGGCGTGAGCCGCCACACCCAGCCTGTCCTTTTCTGTCTGACTTCTTTTTTTTGTTGTTGTTGTTGTTGAGACAGAGTCCCACTCTGTCGCCCAGGCTAGAGTGAGTGCCGTGGCGTCAGCCTAGCTCACAGCAACCTCAAACTCCTGGGCTCAAGCGATCCTTCTGCCTCAGCCTCCCGGGTAGCTGGGACTACAGGTATGCGCCACCATGCCCGGCTAATTTTTTCTATATATTTTTAGTTGTCTAGATCATTTCTTTCTATTTTTTAGTAGAGATGGGGTCTCGTGGTCTCAAACTCCTGACCTTGAGCGATCCGCCCGCCTCGGCCTCCCAGAGTGCTAGGATTACAGGCGTGAGCCACCGCGCCCGGCCCTGTCTGACTTCTTTTACTCAGCGTAATTATTTCCAGCATGCCAGGAGACCTGCTCAACGGAATAGTCAAATGAGCCTTTATTTTCTTGTTGGACGACCCCTGAGCAACAGCTTCTCTGTCCTCCTAGGGGCTCTTGGACCCCCTGCCTTTGCCATCCTGGTCCCTCCCCATGACCCCTCTCTGTGTTCCTTAGATGACCTTGTGGAGAAGACGCCGTGCTCATGGAACTCCTCTCGCGTCTGCGAGTGTCGACCCGGCATGTTCTGTGCCACATCAGCCACCAACTCCTGTGCCCGCTGTGTCGCCCGCCCTGCCTGCCCACCGGGGATGGTCGTCAAGCCCCAGGGTAAGCAGCCCCCAACCAGGGGCCGAGGCCTGTGCCGCTCCTGCTGTACCTCTCCCCACCCCCAGCCCGGCAAACGACCCTCGACCCTGGCTGTTAACTAGGTCGGCTTTGGGGTTTGGTTATCGTCTGAGGAGTTAGACCCAGCGAATGGGATGATAAGATCCAGATCTGGCATGTTGGTAAGAGGTTCGGATGATATTTTCTAAAAAGTCTTCTTCCTGAAATTATTGGGCTGGTAAAATCGTGACTCATTTGCACGGCTGTTTCATTGTCTCAGCGAGGGGAATATAAAGTTTCTGAAGAGATTTCCAAGACAGTGGGCTTTGCCAGCATGCAGGAAAATATCAACCCCTGACAGTTTTTTAAAAAATGGGCTCGTCAGCAGATGAGAAATTTCAATAAGTTTCTAGAAAGCTGAAAACAAATGGAAGGTTGGTGACAAATAAAACCGAGTGGAGGAAAGCCCACAGCGGGTCACTGTGTGAGGGCTCCAGGGGGTGAGGGCCACTTGCTCAACAGACCCTCAGGGAGGCTCTCGGCTCCCAGCAGGTGAGGAACACAATGGCTGGGCGGGAAGTGGGGGGCTGAGACCACATCTTGAAAATAAAATTAAAAATTTATAACAATGGCTTGTTATAATATTGACCAGTCTACATAGATGATGCCTAAGGGTTTTTTTTTTTTCCCAGTAAGGCAAGTTGTTTATTCTTTATTTTATTATTATTATTTTTTGTAGAGATGGGGTCTTGCTTTTGCTCAGGCTGGTCTCAAACTCCTGAGCTCAAGCGATCCTCCCGCCTCGGCCTCCCAGAGTGCTGGGATTGCAGGCATTGAGCTACCTCGCCCGGCCTGTTTATTCTTTAAAGAACGTTAGACTATATTACAAGCTAGTAAAATCTAAGGGAACCTAAATACATCTACATTAAAAAAGTCATCTATATTTTAGCAACATGAGTTGACCCAACCTGCAGAAACCTATGAGTATTAAGAGCGGTTCTGTTGATCTGGAGGTTGAGTTCTGCAAGTGCTTTGGTTCTGCAGCTTATCGTAGAGGAAGAGCTGCAGCTGGTTCCATGAGGGACACATGTAAGTACTTTGAAGTCTTGCACTTCCCCCTAATTGCCCGCCGAGGTCCATGGGGCATATCAAGGGGCGCCTTACGTAGCTCACTCCGGCGAGGCACAGTCTCACTTAATGAACAGCCTGTCAATGCAGCAGGAGTTTCTGGCTGGAAGTGCCTGTTCGAGTCTAGTCTGCCAGGCAATGAGCCGCTGCAGCTGTCCGTGAGAGAAGGTATTTCCAGAATGGGCCAGCCTCAGGTAGACTCAGTCCTGCCACGTACTTGGCCAGGTTCTCAGTTCTGACACACATTCCTTGCTGCCTCAGGTACCGAGGGAGACACTGGTTGGTGGTTGGCACTGTCAGATCAAAAGCTACGGCTCTCAGGAGCAGGTATTCCATTCTTAACAGTTGTCGCTTAGTGTATGTGTCATCGGTTGTGTAGACAAACTCATCTACTTGGGGTGGATATATCTCTTCCTGTTTCGAAGCCAAAAGAATGGCTGCTGTTTCTACCAGCTGCAGTTTCCCTCTCAGTGCATACACGACAGGACTCTGTCCGGGAAGCTGACAGCCAGGTGCAGAGTCTCTGCTCAAAGCTGATATTCTTCACCACCCTCCACCAGAATCGTCCCCGTGCCTTCTGTGACGTCTGGCTGGTTTCTCAGGTCGTGAGCTTTGGGCCCGTACCTTATTTCAGCTTCTCTAAGGTACGGATGAATTTCTTCAGCATACTCAGTTGCATTTATCGCACCTGTGCCCACACCTGATGCGTATTCGGACTGGGAATGGGGCGGTGACTCTACCGGCCCAGGGGAAACAGCTGAGACCCAGCAGGAAGGCAGGTCTGACCCGAGTGTGCCAGTGTGCTACTTCACATACATCCTCAAAAGCCATCCTCTCTGCCTGAGCGGCTGTCTCTGTCCCCTGCTCGGGTTTGTCCTTGTAGATATCAAACCCTCGCTTGGGGAGTTCGTGGACCCTGCAGTCAGTGCTTTCTTTCCAGCTGCAGGGAAGGCATTTTCAGATCCAGAAAAACACCCGATGGTTGCGATGCCCTGGCCACAGGTTTTCCTGACCTGCCCACTGTCAGCTAGCACCCCTGGCGCTATTCTTTGTGGGGGATCCTGGCCCAGCTGGGCTCTGGTGAGCATCTGACAAGCATGGGGACCTCTGGCCGCTGGAGCCGCGATGACTCTGCTCCCGGAGCTGCTGCGGCGCGTTGCCTGGGACTTCCCCGGCTGCCGCTGGGAGCCCACGGCCGGGCCCTGCAGTCCTCGGGGTTATATCTTTGCATGTGTCGATGCCTGAGTTTTTATCCCCTGGTAAAAACAATCAACTTTTGGACTGATGACACTGATGGAACATCCAGGGAAAGATCGGGCCACCCGTGGGGCACTGCCACTCTGCTTGTAAAGCCCTCTGGGCATTTGGAAGTGCACCTGTCACTTGGTCAGCCTCACCCAGTCACCCCGATATGAATACTGCCAGCTCCCACCCCTGCCCGTGGGCCCAGGGTCCCCCCGCAGACCTCCTGCTCAGGGAAGAGACCCACTGTGAGTGAGACATACTGACACCACGGCCGGAGAACCCCACCCCACCCCGACTACAGGAAAGTTCAGCACAGTCCTTTTTTAATAAATATGAATGAGCAGCACAGATCTTCAGACTGATAAGGAAAACCAGCCCTACAAAGGAGAAAAACAAGAAATAAAAACATGCAAACAGAAAATCTTACTGCCGATGAAGCAATGATAAATCCAGGAATAGAAGAGAACTTAGCAACATTAAATTCATGTCCACAGAAAAAGTCATCAAGTTTTGACATCTGTGAAGTGAGCACAGGAGGCTATGAAAAAAGACAAGAAATAACTTTTATTGATATGTTAATAATAAAAAGTGTGGAGCCCAGTCCATTGCCTGGGCTCCCAATTCCCCAGTAGAGGGCGCTAGAGGGTGGCTGCGGGAGGACGTGCGGTCTCTTAGCTGCCTTTGCTTTCTCTTGTCTGTCTGCAATCGTCAGCAGGGCATGTGGCGGGCACGTCTGGTGGTGCTCGCAGAGCTGGCAGTCCCTCAGCGACCTCACAACCCCAGCCTAGGCTGCCGATCACTTCACGTGGCCCTCCCAGTATAGACACTGGCACGCTCCAGGCCTCATATCAGCAGAAATGTCCCGACTCTCTCTGTGCACCCCCCGCCAGCCCCAGGTCTTCAGCACCCCATTTCTCGAGGCCCTCCTGATACAGCCTCTGTGTGCACAAGGCCTCACACCCACAGCGGAAGCCTAACTCTCTCTGCGAGCCTGACCCGAAAATTAGGCTTTGGATCAAAAGCCCCTACCAGGAGCAAGGCAAGGATGAATGAGAATTACCCACGTCTACACCTCTAGTGAGGCACTGCCGTTTGTTTGCCCGTTTATCAAGTGATGGTGTTGGGTTGTTCCCAGTTTAGGGCTGTCACGAATGAAAGCAGCTGTGGATATTCTTGTTCGAGTCTTTGGGTGGATATATATTTTCGTTTCCCATGGGTAAATACCTAGGAGGGGTGGCTGGTCATTATGCTGTGGCCACACAGTCAGAATGTCTCTGAGGGCCAGTCCAAGCTGGTCACCTGTGACCTGATGCAGCCACCTCATTCTGTGGGGAGAACCACAGGGCTGAAGCTAGGGCCGGAATGCACGATCCCAGGGGTCAGCCCAGAACTCTCGCCACTGGACCACACCACCTGCTTCCTAGTTCTGAACCTGGAATTTACCCAGTGGAATTGCAATCAAGTTTGAAGGCAGTATAAAAACAGTTTCAGACATAAACAGTCCAGAAAGCGCTTCTTCTTGTAACGTCTCTTAGAAAGTTATTTGAAGGTGTAATCCAGCTAAATGAGGGGACAAAAAACAAAAAGGAAGAAACCATGGACTCTAGAAACCAGTGACTCTGGCCTAGGAGAGCTGGGAAGAGCAGTCTGAGAATGACAGCTGGGCTGCAGACTGGTTGAGCCGGATCAGAGCAGGAAAGTGGAGGCCTCCAAGGAAGCGTCTCAGGAATAAAAGGGAAAATTGCAATAAATCGCACGATTAGTAGAGTCAAAAAACCTGCGTATATAGTCAAGGCACACTATTCTTTTATCAACAAGAACAATACAGGCAATTGAAAACTCCAGGGAAACGAAAAGGCTGGCAAGAAATTTATAGTCCAATTACGAGGATGAGAATTTCCCCTGATTTCAGACAATTGCTGAATGTACAAAAAGAAAATCCATTTGACCTTATGCTAAGATCATTGTTCAAATGGCCCAAGGATCAGGTGTTTGGATTTGAAGAGAAACATATTAGTCTATTAAATAATCTCTAATTTTAATTCCTAAATTGAGACTAAGAGTAGGCAGGTTCCTTCTTTCCTAGCGGGCCCTCACCAGAGAACATAAGCCAGCCGACCAGGGCTAGACAATGCCTTCTGCTCACCTGCAGATCGAAAGGAGGAGGAAAGGGGGCGGATCACTAACTCAGGGAGAAGGGGGAAGGTTCCAGGTGACACTTGGCACATGCAGAGCAGGGCGAGAGGCACCCAGGCAGGCAGTGCTGGGCCCATCTTCTGTGCTTGGAGGAGAGACAGCAGGTTTGTTGCTGAATTCTAGCAGGTGTTCCAGCGGCAGCTCAGACTGTGGGCCTGTCTAGTTACACCAGGCTGCCTTGGAGAGAGGTCAGAGGGCTCTCTCCTCATGGTGCTAACTGGGTCTAGCAACAATTAATTGGCTTGTAATCGTGGGACCAGCCCAAACTGGGCCTACCCTGTTAATAACGAAATGTCGAGTTCCCCTGTAAGTACGACAGAGCCAAAATCTGCTGGTCGTGTATCCAGGCACATACAGTAGAAAAAGCTTTCACCGCTAACAACTCCTGGAACCGATAGTTTCTCTCTTCAGAACCAAGAAGACCAGAATATGACTGGAACCTAAATGCTGGAACTCTCAGAAGTGAGGGGTCTGCTGGGCCCGGAAAGATCCAGGGCTAAGATCAGCCTCAGCATACCTTGCTGTAAATGGCCACATTGAAAGCCCTCTGATCTGACCCTGTGAAGCCAACACTCCTAAATCCTCTCCCTTGCCCTCCGAGCCCATAAACTTGCCCCAGACCCCAAATGGGGAAGAAAGATTTAAGCCCACCTCCTGTCTCCTTGCTGGCTGGCCCTGCAGCAAAACCATTCTTTCCTCAAAAGCTGGTGCCACAGTGTTGGCTTCTGTGCACGCTGGGCCACAAGCCCATCTGCTCAGTAACAGGTTCGAGCACAAGAGCTCCTCCAAATCTTCCAAAGTAACCTTTCCCTGAAACCTAGTGACATTTCCAGTGCTGATTCAGACACTGATTTACAAACATATCACAGCACATTGCCTCATCTTCCCCTTAGCTTACAGCCTCCGGACGTCGGCTAATTCAGGTAACAGTCTGGTGAGTGCATGGAAAGATACAGCATCTGTTTGGAGACCCCCCCAAAAGGAGGGTTCCTCAGGACCTACCAATCTAAGAAGGAAACTAGCTGTAGCCTCACTTTCTCTTCTGAGTGTTTCAGGAAAAATCTGAGAGGTGTCACGAGAACATTTTAGAAGGGAGGTGTGTGCTGGGGGGTTGCTTTGTACCACATCAAAGAAGGGGTGCTGCCGCCAGGGCTGCGGGGGCGGAGAGGTGTAGTGCCTGGGCACGATCCACTTCAAATGTGGGCCAAATTGTTCTGTCCCAGAAAAGCAGTTGATCATAAGCTGGGAAGAAAGTGCCCCGGCCGCAGGCAGGAGGTGCCATGGCCCAGTGGGGAGTGCTCTGGGCTGGGACTCGCCGTCCTCCGTTCTAGCTCTAGCTCCAGCCCTGTGGTTCTCCCCGTCTGTAAAGCCAGGTGGCCAGCACAGCCACCCAGCCACCCCTCCCAGGTACTCGAGAGAAGTGAAATCATACGTCCACATGGGCGTGTGCGAGAGTGCTCAGAGCTGCCTTATTCATGGTAGCTTCAAACCGGAAACAACCCAGATGTCCATCGCCTGGTGAACGAACACGTAAGCCGTGGTACCTCCGCACAGCGGGGTGCTGTTAAGCAATGAAAGGGATGGACTTTTGGTAATTGCAACATGGGTGAATCTCAGGAACATTACGCTGAGTGAGCCTCTCACATTTCTGAGATTCACCCATGTTGCAATTACCAAAAGTCCATTCATACGTCCCGAATGATGCTGTCTGTATGAAATTCTGGAACAGACAAATGAACCTATAGTGATGGAAAGTAGATCGGTTGTTGCCTGGGTCTGCAGGTGGGGGAGGACTAATTGAGGAGGGGCACTAGGAAACTTTCTGGGGTGACAAGAATGTTCTCTCTCTCTCTCGTTTTTTTTTTCTTGAGACAGGGTCTTGCTCTGTCTCCTGGGCTAGAGTGCAGTGGCATCATCATAGCTCACTGCAGCCCGCAACTCCTGGGCTTAATTAAGATCCTCCTGCCTCAGCCTCCCAAGTAGCTGGGACTACAGGTGTGCACTACTATGCCTGACTAATTTTTCTATTTTTTGTAGAGTCAGAGTCTCCCTATGTCTCCCAGGCTGGTCTTGAACTCCTGGCCTCAAGCAATCCTCCCACCTCAGCCTCCCAAACTGCTGGGATTCCAGGAGTGAGCCACCATGCCTGGCCTATTTTGATCAGACTTCTATAATAGTTATATTTGTCAGAACTCATCAAACTGTACATTTAGGGGATATTTTCTTGTACATAAATTATGCCTCAATAAAGTTGATTTTAAAAGAAAAAATACTTTAAAAATTGAGGATACTTTTAAACATCAGGAGATCTCAGGTTTCTCTTAACTGAAATCGGAAGGCCCACCTGCCTGGGGGATCACCGTGGTTGGAGATGAGTAGCAGCTTCTCCACTTTGATCTTTTGAAGCACAAATCTGACCGTCTTAGTGACTGCAGCAGCAGGAATCCTGTGTCACAGTCTGCACTGTGCTGCCTCCCAGAAGTCACCAGCCTGCTGGTTAAGTCTTTCCTGGAGACATCAGGCTCGATGGCACTGATTCTCAGATGTTGCCCCACCCACCTGCAGGTATGGCCGTGAGGGACACCACCTTGGAGCCGCCTCCACCAGGGACCCACCCTGATTGCAGCATCACCCCAGAGAACAGCGAGGCGCCTGCCAGGTGACTCTGGCCCCTTCCCTCCTTTTGGCTGCTGCGGGACCTGGCTGCCCCTGCCCAGGGGACGCCTAGGGGGCAGCTAGGCTGGGGGTGGTGTGGGGTGTGGCTGGATCCTCTGGGCCAGGCCCACAAGTCATTTTGGGGAATGTGTGTCTGTCCCTGTGCTGGCATCCCTGGAAAGCCAGAAGGCCTAGAAACCCAGTCCTTGCCCTCCTTGCCTGGCAGAGGCATTGGGCAGAGGATCCGGGGACTCAGGCCTTGTCTACACAGTCCGCAGAGAAAGAGAATTACTCCTGAGCACGCACATCCCTTTTTCCATTTTGATCGTCACTCCTGCCTTGGGCTTCTCTCCCCGCAGCTCCCCTGCCACCATGAGCTCCCTGGTGGACTCCCAGACCAGCAAGACGCTGCCCATCCCGACGAGCGCCCCCGGCTCCCTCTCCTCCACAGGGAAGCCCATTCTGGACCCAGGTAATGGCTGCCCACACCCCAGCTGGGCTTCCTCCCAGGGGCCAGGCAGGCAGCTTCTCCTTCGTGGGTGTGGCCTGGGAGGGGGATCAAGGTAGACCTCAGGTGTCTGGCTTCTGGACTGTTCTTTCATTCTTGTGAGCAAAAATTTTTTCACAGCTTCATCCTCGTGGCCCATAATTACTACTCAGAAAATAGGTATTTGTTGAATGATTTCCTGATCTTGACTAGTTGCTTAATTCCTTTGAGCCTCAGTTTCCCCATCTGTAAAACTGTAATGGCATAGACCATGCAGGGCCTAGCTCTTAGGAGATGGTACTGGGAGATTTCATTTTAGGACTTGCAGTTCTAGACACTGGCACCAGGTGGCGGTAGCTCCCAGGTCAGTAGTTCTCAAAGGGGACTCGGCTGGCTGCCTGGGCACGGCCTGGGAGCCAGTTAAAAAAGTGCATTATGGGGCCCGCCCCAGGCCTACAGAATCAGAAGCTGCATTTTAACAAGATCTCGAGGGGGTTCACATGCACATTAATGTTTGAGACGCACTTAACTGGCATACGCTACTTTTTTAACATCTAAAAGTGGATGTGAAAAGTGATAACCAGATATACCGAGTCTGTAATGACAAAAGGAAAAAAGGAAGCAAGTTTAGCACTAAGATGTAGAGAAATAGATCCAGATAGCAGTTAAGAGTGTGGGTGCTGGAGTCTGTGGGCCTGAGCTGGGACTCTACCATTTACCCTGAGGGTGACCTCAGACAAGTTACTGAACCTTCTTGAGCCTCAGTTTCCCTTGTTTGTAAAATGGAGATATTGAGGGTGCCTGGGGCATAGGGTTGTTGACTGACTCATTCATGGAATGCTTGCCAAGTGTGTTCCTGTGCAGAGTAGACCCCGTGCCTGCTCTCATGGAGCTCACGGTCTAGGGGTGGCTGGGAGTTCTACCTTATTCAAGTTCCCCCTTCCCCCTCCTCACTGCTTG